CTGTGGCCCGTTCACCTGGTCCAGGACCCGCGCTCCTAAGCCTTCCCCCCAGTGGAAATTTCCACTCCCCTGGTGGTGGAGGCGGTGGTAGTGATGACAGCGCCTTCTAGTTTAATGTTGCGGGCCGTCGAGGCTCGCCATTCTGCAGACAGGGTTTTTCTTCATTGGCTTTGCTTAGCATCGAAACCATCTAGACTTCAGCAGTGTCTGGGGAGGGGTCCGGAACCCCTCGGCTGCCTGTGACCGTTTGAGGCACGGGGTCGTCTGTGAGCACTGCTATTACACCACATGGTGGGGCTCGCAGAATAATACAGATCTGGGAGTTTCATGTGTTGCGCAGAGCCTCTGTTCTGTCCCAAGCCCGCTGCTGCGGACACGGGGTGGTGACCAGGACGGCCCCGTCCTTCCCCTCTCCTGGGGCTCACAGTCCCAGTGGGGAGACTGACCTGTGCCCAGACAGGCCCCCGAACCCGGGGGAGGAAGTTAGCGCAAGTGTCAGTGGGCCAGCAGAGCCGGGAGCGGCGCCTCCATGCGTCTGCCGGCGGATGTGGCGGGGACCCCGTCGGGACCCCGGCTCGCGCTCAGGGGCGGGCGGGGGCGCGGGGGCGCGGGGGCGGCTTCTCCTCTCCTCTTCGGAGCGCGTAACTGCGTAACTGCGTCCCTCGCCCCAGATGCCAGCCCCGCCGAGGCGCCCCCTTCCGCCCGGGCCCAGGAGCGCTCCTTCTTCGTCCGCATGAAATCCACCCTCACCAAGAGGGGGCTGCACGTCAAGGCCTCGGGGTACAAGGTGGGCGCTCGGCTTTGAGAGAGCTCTAAAGTTCCTGCCAGCTCCGTCCCAGCCCGGGGAGTGTGGCCAAGGGAACCAGACTGGCGGCTCCACTGGGTGCGGTGGTTTCGGGAACCAAGGCTGGGAACTGGGAGCCACATGCCGGCCCCTGTGCCCCACGCCTGCACGTGATGCCCAGAGCCTGGCAAGGTGGCCTGGTGTGGTCCTTGCCCTCAGGCCCAGCTTGCCCCTCCTCCAACCATGCCGCCACCGCCCGCGGGCTTCCCCAGCCACGCCCACCAGCGTGCGGCCCCGCCTCCACTGGCCACGCCCATTGGCCATGTGGCCCCGCCTTCCAAAGCCACGCCCCTCCTCGGTGGCTCCACCTTCCCCAAACCAGACCCTCCCACCCCCACCCCACCTTGCTCCTCCACCAACCTCGCCCCCCCAGCAGGTCATCCACGTGACAGGGCGCCTGCGTGCCCGCGCCCTGGGCCTTGTGGCCCTGGGCCACACGTTGCCCCCAGCCCCTCTGGCAGAGCTGCCTCTACACGGACACATGATCGTCTTCCGCCTCAGCCTGGGTCTCACCATCCTTGCTTGTGAGAGCAGGTACTGGGGTTGGGGGCTGAGGCAGGTGAGGGGGGCACTCAGGAGAGCTTGGCTTGGGAAGGCACGGCCAGCATGGGGCTGCAGGCCCTGCGCGATGGGAAGCCGCAGCGGAGGAGCCGGCGGCAGGTGAAGAGGCGAGGAAGGTGGCTGTGTCATGCAGGGGTCCCTGCGGGTCTGCAGGGCCTGCCCGTGCCGACCTGTCTCTCATCTCCCCTCTCTCCTGGGGCTTCTCCTGCACCAGGCAGTGGGCACTTAAACAATGAACTTGGCCAGCCCCGAGCTTTGGGGTGCCTGGGCCCTGCGCGTGCTCACAGACGCCCTAGGAGGCCGCTGTTACTCCCGCTGCACAGAGCGCTGTGGAGCAAGGGTCTGGGCGCCGGGTGCCCCGAAGCCAGCTCAGGCTCTTGCCCTCTCCTGTCACCTCCAGAGTCAGTGACCACATGGACCTGGGGCCCTCGGAGCTGGTGGGCCGCAGCTGCTATCAGTTTGTGCATGGACAGGATGCCACCAGGATCCGCCAAAGCCACCTGGACCGTGAGGCCCATCTCTGACACTCGTCCCTGCTGCCCCTGTCCCCAGCAGTCCTTCTTCCAAGCTGGCCACGGTCCCTCCCGCTGCACCTACAGCTCGAGGGGCCTGGTCAGCACTGGAAGACGTCCGTGGACACTGAGCCCTGGCTCAGCGTGGGGGCGGCCGTGGGGTCTCTGTCACCTGCCCTTAACCTCCGGAGCCCATGGCCACCAAGCTCTGCCCCCTCTGACTCGCTGTCTGTCTCCCTCCCTGCACCTCTCCTCCCTCCCCGGCCTCCCCTCCGCTGGTCTCCCCGGCCCCTCCTGTCTCTGCCGCCGGACTGGGCCCAGTGCTGGACAAGGGCCAGGTGATGACCGGTTACTACCGCTGGCTGCAGCGCGCAGGCGGCTTCGTGTGGCTGCAGTCGGTAGCCACCGTGGCCGGGAGCGGGAAGAGCCCCGGGGAGCACCACGTGCTCTGGGTCAGCCACGTGCTCAGGTGACAGCCAGAGGCCCTGCCCCTCCTGCAGGGCTAGGAGCCTCTGTGCCCCATCTTGGGGCGGGTGCCCTCCGGGGATGGGACAAATGGACAGGAAGGGAGCAGGAAGTGAAAGCAAAGGCCTAGATGTGCAGGGGACAGGGACAGTTACTGAAGCGAGGACAGTGTCTGAGAGAGGCAGGGCAGGTTCACAGCAGCCTCTGGCCCCGCATGAGGGTCTGGACTCGACTCTGGGCCACTCGGAGGTAAGGGAAGCTCTTCCTATGGAGGCCCAAAGCAGACCAACTCAAGGAGAGAAGCCGAAGCTTTCTGGGAGGCTGAGGCAGGAGGGTCACTAAGCTGGAGTCCAGCATGGAAAGGGCATTGCCAGCAGGAGGCCCAGCAAAGTCAAAGAACCAAGAGCCTGAGCTGGCTACAGGAGAAAAGGGAGCGTACAGGGCTGGAGGTTAAAGTCACCAGAGAAAAGAGGCTGCAAATGACTGTTCCATGGCACTGGGGAGCCATGGAAGGCTATAGAGCTGGAGTCTTGCTTGTTGGAAAGAGTCTCCTTGCTGCTACGGGTCGGGGGCCAGGGAGAAGGCTGGGGCAGGTCTTGGGAAATGCCAGGCTCCAAGGCTGCAGGAAAGGGACAAGGGTATCTTCTGCCCAGCCTCTGGCTTTGCAGAGCCTAGAGCGGAGCTTTGAGGGGAGCAGTAGCTGAGAAGGAAGATGCTGAGGTGAGTGAGCCCGGGGCATCTTGGGGAAACTCAGGTGGTGGCAGCCTGGTGGACAGTGGCTCTGTGGGTCTGGCCTCAGGAGAGAGCTGAGCTGGGCTGGAAAGCAGCTTTGGAATGGGGCAGCGTCGGTGTGGGGGCGCCTGCGCTCAGTGAGGGAGCTATGCTTACTGCCGGCGTCACGTGGGACAGGAGGGACACCAGAGGCTGGGTGGCTGGGACCCCATGGCTCTCAACGTCATCCTCTTCTCCCCAGCCACGCCGAGGGTGGCCAGACACCTCTGGACACCTTCCAGCTCCCAGCCGGCACAGCCTGTAAGGACGCGCCCAGCCCTGTGCCAGAGCCCACCGGTAAGCTCACCTCCCTGCCCCCACTGTCCCTGGTAACCCCAGAAGGCCCTTTGGGAGCTTGGTCCAGTTGTGAAGCCACCAACCTGTGTGGCTAATGCATATGAACATTAAAATTAAAAGTCCATTACCAGCTTGGCGGCGCACACCTGTAATCCCAGCACTAGGGAGGCTGAGGCAGGAGGATCCCCATGAGTTCAAGGCCAATCTGAACTTGCCTTACAAGGCTTTTCAATCCCTGCCTACCTGACAGTTCAGGCTGATAGTTCTGGGCTGTGGGCCCAGTCCTATGCAGCCCCCTGGTCTCTACCTTCTGGATACCAGTGGCAGCTTCCCCTACCTGTGACAATCAAGAATGTTCCCAGCCACTGCCTAGTGTTTCCTGGGGGACAGTCCCTGTTGCTGACAACCCTGAGTCTGCCTGCAAGCACAGCTGCAGTCCGGGAAACAGGCCTGGGCCAACCACCAGCCCTTCCTGATCTTCCTCTTCCAGAGAGTGGGACTCCCGCGGAAGGGAAGCAGGCTGCACCCCCAGACCACGATGACGCCCCCCAGGCCCGGGGTAAGCGCATCAAAGTGGAGCCGCATGCGCAGGAAGCCAGGGGCTCAGAGGACAGCGGGGACGAGGAAGCCGCCGAGCAGCCCCACGCAAAGCGGCCTGGGTTCACGTCGGTCATCCGGGGTGCGCTGCGGCCATGGGGCCCAGAGCCGCCACGCGACCCACCGCCGCTGCCACCACCACTGCCACCGTCACTGCCACCCGCCCTGCTGCCTGCGGGCTTCCTGCCGCCCATGGTGCGCGGCCTCTGCACACCCGGCGCCATCCGCTACGCGCCCGCTGAACTGGGCCTCGTGTGCCCGCGCCTGCCTGGCGCACTCTGCCCTGCGCTCGGCCTGCCCTGCCCTGGGCTCGCGCTCGCGGGGCCCAGGGCGCAGCACAAGGGGGACTGAGGACCGGGATTAGAGCTGCGCCCCTTGCCTGGTGTCCCTGCGCAGGCCCCGCTCGTCCA